TGTTTTCCTCTCTTTTTAACCATAGACGTTTTTTTTAAATTTAATGTCTTAATAATCAATTTTCTATTCTTTAAATATTTTAATATAAAAACAAACATCTAATAAATACTCTTCTTTTGTTATTGGAATATTATGATTTAATGTAACTGTTCTTAATACCTTAAATAATGCATTTAAATCATCTAATGATTGTGGTTGAATAATAACAACAAAATTTTCTCCAATAATTAATTTGATTTTGTTTAGTTCATATTTTGAAACAAAATTAATTGTATATAATCCATACTCTTCTTTAATCTTTCTATGTCGAACTAATCGTAATTTTCTTTCAACAAAACAAATCCAAATCAATCTATATACTAATGGCTGTCCTTCTTTGAATCCAACAGCAACATCAAAATATAAATTATCTACTTTTGTTCGATTCTCTTGAGGTACAGCTATTGCCTTTTCAACTAATTCTTTTGATGTCTCATCTAAATCTCGTTGCTTTTCAGCTTCAGCCATCTCTTTTCTTTTATTCTTAGTTCACTATTCTATTTTTATCATTGAAATTCTGTTTAATTCTATTCATCTACTTCATTTTACTATTTATTTATAGAATTTGTTTTTTATTTATTATTTTTTATTTTTTATTTTTTTTTATTATGAATAACATTTCTCTATTCTTATATTTTCCTTATCTTTGGTAAAATTTTGGGAAATAATTTTTATTTGATTTGACAGAAAAAATTTTATGACTCTTTGAATTCAAAAGGATTGAATAAAAAGAAGTACTTAGTTATTAGTTAGAAATGAAAAACAAAACAAATACTTTCTATTAAAAGACAAGTCAATAAATGACCCCAATAAGTTTTGAAATAAAGGGTTGTACCATAGTAACTAAAACTAAAAAGAATATTAAAAAGAAGTGATGTTGACTTAATAACAAATAAAATGAAAAACCATTTTATAAATGTAATTAAATTATAAAAAAATAGTAAAAAAATGAATTATAGTCTTACTTTTTATTAATTAAGTTGAAATACTAAGTAAAATAAATATATTATATTAAGTATCTTTTGATTTTCTTAACAAAGTTTTATATAAATTCAAATACGTTAATGACACTTAGTAATAAACTAAAACTATAAATCAACTTTTCTAAACGATTATACTCTTTTGTTTATTTCTAAGGGAAGTTATTTAAACAGTACAAGGTTATAACAGGTTTTTCTGTTTTAAACTTTTTTGAATTAATCCTAACACATTTATTTTCGTAACTACTAAAACTTTGTGCTATAGTAATTTATTCACTTTAAATGAGAATAAAGTAGTAACAGAAAAAGAAATACAAGTAGTAAAAAAAAAGAAAATAAAATTTCATTCTTGAAATTAACAAGAAATTTTTTATAAGCTTAAAAAAAAAGAATAAATAAATCAATAAATAAGTATTGATTAAAAGAGGTAAAATGAAGATAAATTCCTCACTCATTGAAAAGAACTAAAAGAAGTAATAAACAATAATAAAAAATGAATAAACATAATAGAAAGAAAACTTTAAATTTCAAATTAAATGAAAAAAAAAAGATATTGTAAAAAGAATTATTAAAGAATTAATAAAATAAAATAAAAATAATAAACAAAAACCCTAGAATAGAAAAAGAACTTGACTTTAACTAGATCAGAAGAATTTAAATGCCAGCACAAGCCAATAAGAAGGGAGTCTCAAAGAAAGTTGATGCTTCTGATAAGAAAGTATTTATGAACGCTATTGTTACAGGAATTACTGATAAGAACGGACTTGTTCTTGCAACAAAGAAAGAAGAAGAAAAGAATCCAATTGTTGTGATTGCATATCTTGAACTTCCAAGATTTGACAAAAAACAAAACAAAGAAGAGACATTTGCTTACGAGTGTGGAGAGTTATTGAGAAAAAAACTTGTTAATGGCAAAGAAGTAAAATTTGAAGTTATTAGTGAAGCAACTGATAATATTCCAAAGATGGTAATTCCATTTGTTAATGGAGAAAATATTGCACTTACTCTTCTTGAAAATGGATATGGTATTTTAAAGGGAAAAGGAAAAGAAATTGATGAATATACTAATGCTGAAAATAAAGCAAAGAGAGATAAGAAAGGAGTTTACTGTGATACTCCAGAAAAAGTTTCTATTAAAAAACCAACTGATCCAAAATTAACAACTAAAGAACTTGACTTTTATGTAAATAAAAGCCTTAATGGACACATTAAGAAAGTTGATGCACCAGGACAATTTATTGTTGAAACACCAGAAAGAAAAATTGTAAGAGTTTCACTCTTTGGAATTAATCAACATGCACCATTTAATGTAGAAAAGAAACAATTTGAATTTGATGATATTGCTAAAGAAGCTATCAAATTCAACAATAAGAATTATAACCAAAGAGACTGTGTTGTTAAAATTATGGACAATGGAAAGAGAGTAACAGGAATTATTACAGTTGATAAGAAAGATATTGCTGAAGAATTATTAAAGAATGGATATGTCACTGTTTCTACATTTGAAGAAAATACCGAATCAGTAAAGAAAGTATATGAAGAGCGTGAAGCACTTGCTAAAAAAGAAAGAAAAGGAAGATTTGTTAATTTTGATCAAGCAGCTGAAGACGCAGCCAAAGCTAAAAAAGAAAAGAGAGAAAAAGATCTTAAAGAAAGAAAGAAGAATGCCAGAGTAATTAGAGGAGCTAACATTCTTTTCATTGGTAAGTATCTTAGAATTGAAAAAGATGGAGAAATTCTTAACGTTAAATTTGCATCAATTAAACCACTTTATAAGAAAGATGATAAAGCATTCAATGAACTTATTGAATTTAGAATGAGAGAAGTTATTAGAAAATTAATTGTTGGAAAGAAATTTGAATGTAAAGAAGCATATAAATCTGAAAATAAAAAAGGAGAAGAAACTATTACTGAAGTCTATTATGATGTTTATGCTGATAAGACAAATGTTGCTATTCCATTATTAAAAGAAGGACTTGTTGTAGTTGATGAAAGGGTTAAAGATCAATTCTATCAATCATTTGATTATAGTCAATTAAAGGCTGTTCCAAAGAAAACATATAAACCAGTTCCAATTACTAATTATTCTAATTTAGATAATGTTAAGGATATGCTTATTGGAAATAATTTCAAATGCATTATTGAAAAAGCTATTTCATTAACTGTATATCTTATTTACATTCCAGAGAAAAATTCACAACTTATTGTTCATCTTCAAAATTGTTTTGTTCCAAAAGATGATTCTAATGATAATCTTAAGAAATTTGTTGATAATGCTAAAACAAATGTTAAACAATTATGTGAATATCGTGAAGTTCTTGTTGAATTTAAGAGATATAATAAAGGAAATTTATATGTTGAAATTCTTAATAATGGAACAGATTTAGCTCATTATATTCTTGAACACGGATTTGCTATTCCAACTGGACGTTATAATATTTCATCTGAGATTGAACAAATGAAAGAAAATATGACTCAAATTTATCAATTTGACACTCAAAAGAAGAAAGAAGTAACTGAAGTTGTTGAAAAGAAACCAAAGAGAATTACTGAAATTAAATTCAGTGCTGAACAAAAAGTCTACTTAACAGGTTTTGATGGAGAAAAGATTGGTTATTATGATAATGCTGAAGACGCTAAAATCATTGAAGAAGTTAACACTATGTGTAAGACTGTTAAGAAAGGTGCTATGAAACCAGCTGTTGGTGATAAGTGTATTGTTGAATCTAAAGGATTTTTCTATAGAGCAGAATTTGTTGAAGTTGCAACTGGTGCTAATGTTCTTAAATGTATTGATACAGGAGCTGTTATTATCTGTGGTAAAAACAAATTAAAACCAATTACTGAAGAAATTGCTGGTAAACCTGTTACTGTTAAAACTGTTGGACTTGTAGGACTTAAGACTCTCACTACTAAAGATGTTGACTTCTCTGCTGCTGTTGAAGCTGTTGCTTCATACTATAAGAAAGAAGTTTCACTCTTTGTTTCTGGTGAAGAGGCTAAAGTTGTTGTTGAAGGTGTTTGTATTAACACTTATCTTGTCCAACATGGTCTTGCATTTGTTGACAAACATTTCCATGACAATAGTGAATGGGGTGTTGCTTTATTAGCTGCCCAATCACAAGCTAAAGAAAACCATCTCAACGTTTGGAGATATGGTGAAGTTGCTGATGAAGAAGAAAAGAACTAAGTCATTAAACTAATTTGAGAAGTCCTTTTTTGCTTTATTTTTGATATTTTCTCTTATTATTTGTTATATTGAAATAAGTGTAATTATATCAATTCAAACATAATAACACATTATTCTTTTTCTTTATTTTAAAAATTTCATTAACCTAAATATCCATTTATAGTGATGTAATGATTCATTATGTTTTGTTATTTTAACATTTATAAAGTGAAAAGTTTTAAGTCGAGTGGGAGTAATTTTGTTCATAAGTGTGGTAATATGTATTTCATAATATTAAACAGTGTGACTGATATTATAATCTATTTTGATTAGATTTGTCAATTTGAAAATTAAAAGAAGTTATTTAATAAACTAATTCTTTCTTTATGAAAGAAATAGATTAGCATTATTACAAATAGAAGTATTAATATATTGATTCATTAAATTACATTTTCTTTCTAACATTATTTATTTAGGATTCAAAAGATTATGAGATAACACAAACTTTATCTGTCTTTATATTTTGTGTTGATTTTTTAATTCAATTCTACTAAAAATTTTTATTTTAAATATAAAAATTTATATTAATCTCAATGTATTGTAATTATTAATTTATGAAGATAAATGAATTTAATAAATTAATAGAATGTTTGAAAGCAAGATTGAGTTTGTTTTTTAATATAATTGTAGAGAGTAATGATTTTTTGAGGAATGATATAAATCTTTCATTAAATCAAGTGATTTAATTTTTTTATTGAGATGTTATTTTATTTTTGATATATGATATGGTTCTTCAAAAGGTTAAGTTGTATAATGTAGAAAGAATGATAAAAGAAAAGAATGAACAGATTAAGTGATATAAATCGTTGTTTTAATAAGAATGAACAAAATGAATATAAATACACATAAAAACAAAGTGATAATCAAGAAAATGTATCAAATATTGTTCATTTTACAGTTAAAAAAAGAAGAGTTATAAAGAAAGAATCAAAAGACAATAATTCATTTAAATCAAAGAACCTATAATATTTATTGAGCTTGGATTTGTACCAAGTGGAAATAAACACCTTTTTCTTTTATCAGTTCATCATGAGTTCCTTGTTCTACTACCTTTCCTCCAGAAAGAACAACAATAATGTCAGAATCTTTTACAGTTGATAATCTATGAGCAATAACAATTGATGTTACTTGTTTAACAGTCTTATCAATTGCTTGTTGAACAATCATTTCTGATTCAGAATCAAGTGCTGATGTTGCTTCATCAAGAATAAGTAATTCAGGTTGAGTTATTAATGCTCTAGCAATAGCAATTCTTTGTTTTTGACCACCAGATAATGAAGTTCATCTTTCACCAATTATAGTATTATATCCCTGTGGTAGTTGACAAATAAAATTATGACAATTAGCCATTTTAGCAGTAGCTACAATTTTATCCATATTTTCTGCAACAAGATTCTAATTGGTCATCAGTCCAACTTCCACATATACCACTAACAATGTTTTCTTCAATAGTTCCATCAAATAATAATGGTTCTTGTCCAACATATCCAGTTTTATTTCTTAATGTTGCTAATTTAAATTCTTGAATATTTCTTCCATTAATTTTTACTGTTCCTCTTTCTGGATTATAGAAACGTTCAATTAATTGAATGACTGTTGATTTTCCACAACCAGAATGTCCTACAAGTGCAACAGATTTACCTTTAGGAATAACAAAACTTACTCCATCAAGAATAACTTGTTCTGGTCTTGTTGATATCTAAATTTAATATCATCTAATTCAACTTGGTCAATAGTAAAGTTCTTTTCACCTTCATTACTAAATGGATCTTGAGGTGATTTTCTATCTATAATTTTAAAAATACTTTCAGCTGCAACTTTTGCATTACCAAAATCTGCCATATGTGTTGCAGCAAATCCTACTGACATAGCTCCAAAGATAATTGCACGTACTGCTTTCATGATTCCCTCCATACCATTTGGATCATCTTTAAGTTCTTGACCTGCAACATACATTAATACATAATATTTCCAGAATATAAATGCATGAACCCATCCAAGAACAAGTCCATTAATAATTGCAGTAAATGGTGCTCGTTTAGATGGTTTAACAAGATAATTACAATATTTCTCTTTGAAATAATCTTCTTTTGCTAACATTTTAATTGTTTTTATATTTTCAACAACTTCTGTCATAAGATTTTCTGCATTAGCATAGATTTTTGTTTCTGGTCCAGTAAATCCAACTGAAATTCTCAATTGGATATATGTGTTAAATACAATTAATGGAACAAAGATAGTTGCTATTACTGATATTTTTACATCATTGACATATCCAAAAAATAACTGAGAATAAACAATGGATCATTGTTCCAATCAAATTATCTGTTACTCCATTCAATTTAGTTGCATCAGCTGCAAATCTTCCAGTTGAATTCTCTTTTTTTATCAAACCATCCGTTATCTTGTCTATAAATTGCATAAAATGATAATTTTCTTACTCTATATGTCAAGAACTCTCCTGACATCAAAAAGAATGCTTTATGTAAATATGTTGAGATAAATGCACCATATGAAATTCCAACAAAAATATAAAAATATTTCATAACGTCATCATCATTTGGAATTCCAGTTAAATAAACAGTAACAAGCATAACTATAGATTCACAAAGATAATATGAGAATATTGGAAATAAAGCACCATATATCATTGAACCAATAAGTCCAAGAATCATCCATGGAATTTCTTTGAGATTTAATCCAAAAACTCAACCAAATACAAAGAAATGTGCACTAAATTTTTGCCAATTAGTTCTATGATCATCATCAACTTCAATATATGTTTTGTCAACTTCATTTTGTTCAGGAACAACATCTTCTTCTAAATCTTCATCATTATCAAATTTCTCTTGTTGTTTCTTTCCCATTTCTTGATTTTTAACAAGTTTATAGAATAGTCCTTGTTTTTCCATTAATGTTGTGTAATTTCCATCTTCAACAACTTGTCCATGATCAAATACAAGAATTCTATGTGCATCTCTAATTGTAGATAATCTATGTGCAATAATAACTGATGTTCTTCCAGCAGCCTTATCTAATGCTCGTTGGGCAGTCTTTTCTGATTTAAAATCTAATGCAGAAGTAGCTTCATCAAGAATAAGTAATTTAGGATCATTCATTAAAGCTCTTGCAATAGAAATTCGTTGCTTTTGTCCTCCAGATATTTGAGCACCACGTTGACCAAGTACTGTATCGAATTTTTGAGGAAGTGAATTAATAAAATTAGTAGCATTAGCAATGTGTGCACATTTCATAATTTTTTCTTCTAGTTCTGGCATCAATAAACAATCTTGTGGATCTGATGTATCATGATAATGTGGTGCAAGAATATTTCTATGTGCACCAAGTGCTATATTTTCTTTGATTGAGATTGCAAAGAGTGAAGGTTCTTTTCCAACTACTCCAAACATACTTCGGTATTCATACAAATTAAACTCTCTAATATCAATACCATCTATCATAATTTTACCATCCACTGGTTCATATAATCTTTGTAATAATCCAATAATTGTTGATTTACCACATCCAGATGCACCAACTAATCCAACAGAATGTCCAGCTTTAATTTCTAGATTGAAATTATTAAGAATTAACATATCTGGTCTTGTTGGATAACAAAATGAAACACCTTCAAACACAATATTTCCTTCTTTAATTTCACTAATATGTCTCTTTCCTTCATTTTTAATTTTTGGAACTCTTTCAATTGTTTTGAATATTCCATATGCTGATGATGTTCCTTTAAAGATAGATCCAATTGGAGTTGCAATTTGAGAAAGACCCAGTGTTCCACAAAGTACTGAAAAGACAACAATAGATTAACTCAAAAGAAATACATCTTAGAATGAAAAAAAATAATGAAGGTTATTATAATGAAAAAGAATAAAAAAACAATAACATTAATAATCATTCAAATAATGAAAAACAAACAGATAAATCAAATTGAAAATGTAATAATTACATAATAATATTATTAAATAATTATTTAAAATAGTTGTTAAAAATAATTGAATAGTTCTTTTCATTTATTCAGTTATTTACCTATAATGTTCTGATAGTTTGATAATAATCACTTTCTTTTATTCTATAATGAAATAATATTATTCAAGTATTAATATCATTAAATGTTTTTTTTGACTTTATTATTATACATTTCTTCTTTAGTACTTAATGTGTTATTCTTTCTTCATACAATCCATGTATTTATCTTTATTACAGTCATTTTCAAATAAAATTATCTTTTATCCAATTGACACTTGCCCTTTCTTAACTCAATTCACTTTCATTAAAGTAGTTGTCTTCTCTTCTGTTCAAGTAGTATTTGGTCTTTTATCTCCCTTTCTTCAATGCTTTCTTTCTTCTTTACTTCTTTTAATTATATCTTTCAGACATCATCTTCATCCTTTTTACTTTCTCTTTCCATCGTCATCTCATACTGATCTATCTGGTGTATTGTATCCATCTAATGATGTCAAATTATCTTTGACTTTGTTGTTCCACTCTGATGAAATTCATAATGTTTCAAAACTCCATACAATCTCAAAGAAACTTATCAAATGGATTTTTCTTATATTGTTCTTTATCCAATGGATATCTTTTCTATTGTGTTATATAATAGCCAATTATATAGTCTTCTATGGAATAGCATTCCTTTATTTTCTTATTGTGATTTTATCATTCTATCTATCATTTTCATCATCATCATCATCACCACCTCAACCAAACCCATCTCCATTATACGATGTATTAAATCAATTATTGCCTGTATTAACACAAACAAAGTGTGAATTTACTCAAATAACCATTTATATAACATCTCAATACTACTCTTTTGAATATATTCAACCATTTCTTCAATCCTCACAATTAGCAAACAACTACATTTTAGTATTTGATCAAATTGGTGATGAGATTCTTCTTCTTAGATCAACAACAAAACATCATACAAATGACCAACTAAACAACACAATTGAAGATGCTGCTGATGCAGAAGGGATTACTCTTACTAAATGTTCTCGTTCTTCACCATCTTCAATGCTACTTTCACGTTCATTTAAAACATCTGTTATAACATCAAGAAATAACTATTCGTTAATGAAAAAAGATGAAACAAAGATTAAACACATTGTGAAATTAATTAGTCGAATGGTAGTTCAAGTAGATAGAATTGGAATTGAATAAAAGAAAATAAAGAAAAAATAACTAAAACTAAAAAAAAAAAGAAAAAAAATAATTGAATGAAGTTCCAATTTTGTGGAGGTTTAAATGTTCCAGATTGGCTTTTAAAAGAAATTGGAACAGTTCAACGTCTTAATAATGAAGAAGTTAAAGAAATTAGTATAGAAATAATTAATAATATGATAAAGAAAGAAGGATTTAATAAAAAAGAATTCAATTCAATTTGTGAAAGACGTAAATTAACAGAATCTGATTTAAGAGGGATTATTACAACATTAAGATTTATATTATGTTCAGCAGCACAATATGATATTAGTAGTGAAAGATTATTAGAAGAAGAACTTGAAATTGGAATAGATATAGAAATTGCAGAAACAATATCAAAAATATATGAAGAATATAAAGAACATTTACAAAGAATATTAATTCAAAAGACAATTAAATTACCACATATTCAAAATATTCAAGAAATTGAATATAATATAATAAAAAAAGATGAAATTACTAATGAAAATATTAAACCATATATTATTATTCATATAATTACACAAATAAATTCATTTGATTTAATTATTCAAGAAAATCAAATTAAAGAAATGATTTTATCAATAAAAACAGCAATAAAAATAATGAAAAAAGGACTTAATAATAATTAAATTTTTATTTAATAAATAATTAAATTGTTTTATTTATTTATAATTCAGCAAAATTTTCAGGTAATTCATTAATTTGAGTTGAATAATATCGTTCTAAATCTCTTAAATTATCCATTTCATTTTTTAATACAAAATTTATAGCTATTCCTGTTCTACCAAATCTACCTGATCTTCCTATTCTATGAATATATACTTCTCTATTTAATGGCATATCATAATTAATTACTAATGAAATTTGTGTAACATCAATTCCTCTTGCCCAAACATCAGTTGTAATTAATACTCTTTTTTCTCCTTTTCTAAATATATTCATAATATAATCACGTTCTTGTTGTGGCATTTCTGAATGCATTGAAATTACTGGAAAATTAGCTTTCATCATATTTTCTGTAAGCCAATCTACTTTTTTTTTCATATTACAAAATATTACACTTTGTGTAATTGTCATACTATCATAAATTTCACATAATGTATCAAATTTTTGTTCTTCTTTTTCTATTTCAATAAAATATTGTTTAATTTCTTCTACTGTAATTTCATTTCTTTTAATTAATATTTCTATTGGTTTATTCATTATTTTTGTTCCTATTTCTATAACATCTCCTGTAAGTGTAGCTGAACATAATACAATTTGTCTTTTAATAGGTAAATATTTAATTATATCATAAATTATTTCCATAAATCCTTTATTAAACATTTCATCAGCTTCATCAATAACAAGTGTTTTAATATGTCTAACATTTATTACTCTTTTTTTAATTAATCCCATTATTCTTCCTGGTGTTCCACTTATTACTTGACACCCTTTTTCAATTGCTTTAATATCTTCTTTTTCACTTTTCCCTCCAATACATCCTCTTACTTGAATAGCCATATATTGTGATAATCCACTAATAACTCTTTCTGATTGAATAGCAAGTTCTCTAGTTGGTGAAATTATAATTACTTGAACTTCTCTTTTATTACTTTCAACATTTTGTAAAATTCCAATAGAAAATGTTGCTGTTTTACCTGTTCCTGATTGTGATTGTGCAATAACATCTTTTCCTTTTGTTATTGGAACAATTCCCCTTTGTTGAATTCCTGATGGTTTATTATATCCTTGTTGATAAATTCCCTTAAGTAATTCTTCTTTTAATCCCATACTTTCAAATGTTTCATAAATTTCAATATTCTCTTTTCTTTTGTTCATTCTGTTTTATAAAAATTGTTTTCTTAAAAATAAAACCCTTTTTTTTTTTTTAATTTTTTAATTTTTTACTTTTTACTTTTTAATTTGATGAATATGAAGAAATAGATTTAAAATCTCCCCCCTTATACTTAGAAAAATAGAAACCAATTCTATTAACACTTAATTAATTATTCTTTATTATTATTATTTTTTTTAATCTTTACTTTAATTCATTTTTTGAATTGCTGCTAAATATGTTTCTTTTGAAATAAGTTTTTTACGAAACCATCTATCAAAGAATAATTGATCAGTATCTTTATCTAATTGAAATTCAAGAAGTTTTTTAATATTTCTATCATTTAAACAAAAATTATTCATTAAATTATTTTCTAATTCTTCAATATTTATTATTTTTTTTCCAAATAATGTTATTGCAATATCAACTGATTCATGAATAATATTTAATTCTTGTTGTATAAAATAAATTGCTGTTTCTTTTGGAATTAATTGTCTATTACAAACTTGTGCTAATTTTTTAATTCTCCAACTATTTTCACATTCTTCATCTTCTGCAAGAATTGTTCCTTTAATATTATGAATTAAATTATATCTAATTTTCCCTGTTTCAATTTTTGGTGTTTTCTTTTCTTTTATTGTTGGTTTATCTATTATTTCTTCTTCATTCCCTCTAATAACAACATCTTTAACTTTTTTGATATTTTCTTGATTATTTCTTTTCTTTTTCTCTAACCATTTGTATACTTTATCTTTAGTCATACTATTATCTCTTATACTTTCTAATTTCCCTTTAAATTTCTTTTCAAAACACCTTTCTTTGTATTCAATAAAATGATTTGGATTAATTTTTTGTTTCATACATACTTCTGTAAAACCCTCAAGTGGTCCTCCTGATTCAACTATTTTTAATTCTTCAATTAATTCTTCTGTGATGTGCTTAAACTTTTCTTTAACTTCTTTTTCAATACTATCAACTGAAATTATCTTGTTGTCTCTTCCAACAAGTATTTTCTTGAGATCTGTTATAATTAAACAAACACTTCTTCCTGTATTTTTTTCAATTATATCAATCCCTAACATATTAGTATCATCATACCATCTCATATGTCCGTATACTAAATATGTTTTTGACATCATCTTCATTATAGACTTCAATCGTTTACTTAATCCTTCATCTATATAATCAAAATAGTCAATGAATTGATCAATAGTATTCTCTCCCATTTTATTCTGATTATCTTTTTTAGTCCTTTTCTTTTTTACAAAAATCTTAAAAAATAAACATCATTTCTCTTTCTTTTTTTTTCTGTTTTTTATTCTATTCCAATAATCCCTTTAAATTTCATTTTTTGAACTTTTCTTTCAACACTAAACTTATTTAACTTTCCTTTTCTTTGTATTTTTAAACATTTTCTTTGTTTATTTATCACATTTTTGTTAAATATTCTTATTTTTTTATTTATTTATTTATTTTTTTGTTATTTTAATTATTTATTTTTATCAATAAACATTGTGTAATCTCAGATAAAAGTTATCATAATATTTTTGAAATAACACAAAGAGAATAATAGAATTTATCAAACAATAGTGTTATAATCATTTCATTTTTAAATAGTATTTAAACATTTTTCATCTATTTTATTAATATGAATGAATTATATTTAATATTATTCAAAATATTGAATGTTTTACATTCAATAAATTTAATTTATATATTAATTTGATTATTTATTTTATTTAAGTTATGTTTGTATTTATTATTTTTATTCATTAAATATTTTCTTTCATAATTTTTATTTCTATTTGTTTTTGAGTGTGTATCATTGGAGATATTAAATACTATATTATATCTTGTTATATTTGGTTTATATATTTCTTTATTTTATGTATAGTTCTTTTTATTTTATTGTATCTTCTTTTTCTACACACTTCATAATAATTTGTTATTGTTATTTCTTATTATGCTAAATTATCTCTTTTTATTTATTCTTTCTTTATACTTTTTTATTGTTTTCTTTTTCTAAAATCTTTTTTTCTTTTAAGTATTCAATTTATTAATTCTTCTTTAATATTTATTTTATTCTGTTTTCGTTTTATATATATTATCATTTGTATCTTGTATTTCTATTATTTCTATTTCTATTTTCTCATATTAGTTATAATTGTATTTATGTTGTAAATTGTTTATATTATATCTATTTCATTTTACTATCATTTTTATACATATTTAATTTATGTGATGTAATAATTACATTTTCTCGTATCACTCTATATATTTTTAATATCTTTTCTTCATTTGATACAAA